ACACGCTAACTTCAACATATACAGATTCTACAGCAGAAGCTGATTTAGTCGTTAAATGTTCAGAGCGGACGTCTGCACAGTAAGCAGCCGTCCAGCTCTGTGATCGGTTTAGAGCCTATTTGTTAGCTTTTAACTTCCTGTTTTGCAAAACTAGTAGAAATCAGACACGACTTCTCTGAGCCACAGCTGACTGCAGCTTGTGGTGCAATGTTTTGACATTTCAGTGTGTGGGGGGAGGGGGGGCGTACTGAATTCGGGGGCCGTGTTCATCCTTCCCACGGCGGGCTGCGTCGTCCGTCCACATCCGTCTCCACGTGGAACAGCATGTCGGCCAGTGTGTGTTCGATCACAGCTCCCGAGCCCATGTCACTCATCTGAGACGCAAGACAAGCAAACAAACAACAACAACAACAGATGATCAATGAGACGACAGCTCAGCGGATGGCGTTGCTTCTTTAGAGGATGCGATTCTTTACCGGCTGGTACTTGAGGTCTTTTGGAGCGTGTCTGAAAAGTGGCCCGAAGTTGACCGAAACCTGAAGAGAGCGTAAAGTTTAGCACAAATAGAACAAAGTAAGAACAAGAGAGCAGAACGATGTGGAACACGACCCTCGCACTGACCGTGCAGCTCTTGTAGAGAGAGATGGCGGGAAAGTACATTCCTTCAAACAGGTTCTCATAGGCGACGCCTTGGCTCACGCCGTTCTTAAAGAATATCATCTGAGATAAAAACAGGATCCACGAGTTAACAGCAGCAGCTCTTATAACTGTTTTCCTTTAATCTTGAGGAGGACTTCTCACCCTGCTGGAGCTCATGGACTTCAGGCTTTTCTCTGCTTTGTCCACGTAGTCCTTCTCCTCAAAGTACAGGTAGCTCTTGAACTTAATCAGCGCCTGAAAAGAGACAGTGGTTGAGATGAAATAACCACGTGTGTCTGGGTTGAGTGTAGTTCTCTTTAGCCACGTTTCCATTAAAGCATTTTCATGCATGTTTTTCCAAGTATCGCATTAGCGGAGTTGTACGAAAAAAGGCAGAATTCTATAATATTTCAATGGCGCAAACAAGAGTTTTTACATCGTTTGAGGTGATTTTTGTCTTTATGTAAACGTAATCATAGACTGATTTCAAGCTTCACAGAAAAGAGAGAAAGGCTCGTGCTCGTGCTTACAGGAAAAGAGCCGACGATAGGCGTGACTGGGCGGTCTTTTTTGGGATTTATTTACTTTAAACTTGGCTTAAGAAACCGAATGTAAAAGCCGAGCAGCGTGTCTCGGGTGTTACCTTGTCCTTGTACGTGTCCGGCAGAGCTTTGGCCGTCTCCGTGCCGTCCGGCAGCTCGATGAAGAAGCCCAGCGTGTCTCCCTGACCGTAGCCAGACGAGTAATGCTTCCCTATCGACTGGTGGAACCGGGTGCCCTTCTTGCTGCGCCACGAGTAGCTGAACTTGTCGTAACCCAGAGGGGCCTGCAGGTTGCCTGCAAAATAAGAAAAAAGGCAAAAGATGTTTGAAGGAGTACTGTTATAAAGCCCTCTTTATCCTTGAGAACATACGTTTCTTAAGTTTTCAGCCGAGTAAAGCAGATGCAGAAATGTCTGGAAACTGCATTCTCTCTAGTGTCCACCTGGGGGCGACTCCTCTGGTTGTATAGAAGTCTAAGCTTTAAGGTAGCCCCGCCCTAAAGCATCCCCTGCTTTATGGTCTGTGTGACT